CACATCAACAAGAGCTGGAGTGTAAGCAGAACAGCTGGAACTTGAACTGGCATTCCAATAGGGGATGCTGATATCGCAAGTGGCGGCTTAACCCACTGGACCACAATGCCAGCCCCAGTCTTGGTTATCTTAAATTTAAGGCCCAACACATCTCTCAAGAGGATAATAGTTGACTCTAAATCATGAATGTCTCCCCTAAAGTAGCTGAGCATTGTCTGTAGTCCATTCACACAGAGGCAGTCAGTGTCACTGCAAGGGACCTGGAGACATGCCTGCTTTTGTTTCCAAAAGGAACTGCAGGTGGACATTATGCTCCATGGGCTAAGAGGAATGGCTGCAAGACGGGCCTAGTACTTATGGGTTTTGAGGGGGAAAGGCCAGTTGCTATTCTGGCCAGTTGAAGTTAATGATGATCTTGATGGCAGAGAGACCAGATTATCCTAAACCAGGAGCAACCAAAGTCTGTAAGAAAAATGCAGTACAAGAAGCAACGGCTTCCTTTCCTACCCTTCCTGAAGACTGCCTCAGAGTAGGAACGAACAGATTGGATTTCACGAAAGTGAAGATAGCCGGAGTTGCTTTCCCACTCTAGGATGACTTGGGGTGAAGCATCCTTTCACCCCTGACTCCAGGCCCGCCCACAGTCTGTATGTGGAGATGTGTGCTGATGCTTCCTCAAGGCAGGAGCCGTGTACTTCTCAGCACACCTCAGCCCGGTGCCAGCACAGACTGAGCTCAGCAAGTTTTTATTGACTCCCTAGGTAAATAATGGCCTCACCGTGACCCTCCCCTCTCACTCTTTGCTTCCAGGTCTCCCTAAAATTGGCCCTTCCTCCATGTGCTCTTTAGCGGTGTGAAGTAGGCATTAACGCCTCCTTCTCTGTGTTTCTTGTTTGATCTTCCTTGATTTAGTAGTATCCTCTAGGTATGCTGAGATTTTCTCTTGTATTAGATTGCAGACAGATTTGAGAGAAAAGATGTGGTTTTCTTGGTTTTCCTTTAGAACTGAAGGCAGTGTTCTATGTTCCAGTGACTCTTAACTGACTATGTCGAGGAAAGAAAAAAGCAGTAGTGGGCACTGTTAGAGAGAGAGAGAGAGAATATGAGGATGTAATACTCATACCTGGGATCAATCCCTGGCCTGCAACTGTGCGCAGGTCTCTGAGCTTCAGCTTCTTCGTTTGTAAGAAAAGAAGAGGCCAGATTGATTGGCAAGGCTTCTCCCAGCTCCTTGGGCCTCTGAGTCATTCATTCATTCTTCTCAGAATGTCTGGAACGATCATTGCCTGTTTATCTCATTTAGGAAATAATCCTACACCACCTAATGGCAGGGTGTTTGAGTTGGGATACAGGCTAAGCAGCAGTAATAGAATCTCAGAAAAGAAAAAATATAGTTTTTCTCTTCATGAACAGCCCTAAGGCAGACAGGTATTCCAGCCCAGAGACGACTTTGAGTCACTAGAATATTCCAAACCCAAGGTTACTGCTCTTTCTTTACACTGCTGTTGCCTGGGGCATTGTCGTCATCTGAAGAGTACAAGCTGATTCCACGTGGGGCTGGGGAAAAGGGCCCAGGACAAGCAGCTTATTCTCCAAGTGAAAGTGGCAAGCATCACCCTCACCCACATCCCATTGGCTAGAGCTTCCTCAGGTGGTCCCACTGGCAGCCCGGAGAGGAGCAAAGCCTTTAGTGGAGCGGCCTTGTCCCCATCTAAAACTGTAAGTCAAGGACCCTCACTAAAGGAAAGAGTAAAGATTGTTTGGTAGGGGATAGTCACCACTGCTCTGCTTTCTATTATGGTTTGGAGCCACCTTAATAATTTTTTATTTTCCTACTTACTATATTTCTTCTCTAGTGAAATAAGCTGAGCTTTGGGCCTGTGATTAATCCTATGTGTATATATGTTAGACACAGATATTAAGCAGTATATATTTGTTTTGTATATTGATTTTTCAGGGTATCTAAGTAAATACCATGCCTACCCCTTGTCTCCATCTCTATCCTCTGTTCTGTCTACTTATTTCTTCTTTACTAATATTACATATAAAGCTTTAATTTTCAACCTAGTGGAGGAGACTAGATTAGAATTTACAAAGTAGTAAAATGAAAAAGCATATAAATTGATTTGGAGCACATTGCTACTAGTAGCAACTACTGCCTCTTACTACAAGTAGTAAAGATAATATTATTTTGGGGTAGTACAATTACATGTAATTGAAAAACCAAGAGCTTTCCACTGTGGCTTCATTATTTGGTTTTATCTGTATTCCCTGGATGTAACATATGTTAATGAGTAAATTTAAAATGAATTTTCCCCTGAAATATTTTGGGTTTTTTTTTCTCTCTTCACTAGTGTCAATAATAAAGAGATGCCTCCAGTGCTGAGTGTGAACCCAGTCATGTGAGCTTGTTTGGAGAGTCATATAGGTTCATTTTAAAAACCGGGGCCAGTTTTATGGTTCAGGGGTCACATCTTATCCTCTCTGGCTTCCAGTTCTTTATCTGCTGTACTTGTCTGCTATAATCTTCTATTGGAATGACAAGTACTAGTATGTGCCTTACCACATTTATATTTGATATGGAAGAAGTGATATTGAAAGAATTGTCCCTGCTGTCATCTCTAGTTTCCCCAAATCCTTCCCCTTCAAGGTCCAGTCCCAGTCCACTCCTCACTTTAACTGACCATAACCATCCCCACCAAGCGATCATTCCATCAGAAAGAAGAAAGACTTAATTCAAGCCCTGGGTCAGAGGGTGGCATTGCAAACCGGGAGCGGAGAGAAAACTGCAGCAGAAGGACAGAGTGTGTTTGTGTAAGGACCGGCCTTTATTCCCTTTCCAAACATGCCACCTTGCCAAAGACCAGCAACTCTCAAGGACTGGCCGCCTTCCCTGCTAGGAAGAGCAGCTCTGAGCCTCCATTCAGACTCACCCCACGTTCCTAGGGCTCTTCCTGGGCCTCAGCATGAGGCATGTCATCTTTGTCCTTGTTACATTTTTCCCTAAGAAACTTAGAAAGGGATATTTCAAAGTTTATGGAAAATGCAGTTAAAAGGTTAAGTTTATTTTGATGCAAATTTTGAAATCTGTACATACAAGTATCTTAAAAGCATGTGTATTATGAAAAAAACTCTGCATGGATTTCAAAAAATATCTTCACCAAGATAAATTTATCTTTTTTTTTTTTTTTTTTTTGACAGGCAGAGTGGACAGTGAGAGAGAGAGAGACAGAGAGAAAGGTCTTCCTTTTTGCCGTTGGTTTACCCTCCAATGGCCACCGCGCTGATCCGAAGGCAGGAACCAGGTGCTTCTCCTGGTCTCCCATGGGGTGCAGGGCCCAAGGACTTGGGCCATCCTCCACTGCCTTCCCGGGCCACAGCAGAGAGATGGCCTGGAAGAGGGGCAACCGGGACAGAATCTGGCGCCCCGACCAGGACTAGAATCCGGTGTGCCGGCGCCGCAAGGCGGAGGATTAGCCTAGTGAGCCGTGGTGCCGGCCAAATTTATCTTTTAATACCATTTTCCACAAACCTTTGAAGTACCCTCATATTCTTTGCCAAGGAACAGGAGGAGCTGGTCTGAAAAGGCTGCTCTTCCCCTCTATGTCAACAGAGGGCAGCAGAGAGCACCATGCTGTAATCTAACATGAAGGTTTTAAATTGGGGCAGTCTCAGTCCCCTAGTGCCTAAGGAGACAAACGCATGGGGCACTTTTAGTAAGCTATAAAGGAAGGCAAATCCTACATCTTTTATATGTAGGAGCTAAAATTTTTTTAAAGAATCAACAAAAAGGAAAGAAATGCTTTGGTGTGTATCAGTGTTGCTGCAAATACAGTTTTGTAAAACTGTTTTATACTTTTGTCAAACCAATGGTTAGAAATGTTATACTACTATAATTACATTAAAATTTACTGTATATGGGTGAAATGGTCATGTTTCCATTAATTATTGTTTATAGTGGTTGCCTACTAGACTAGGCTCTCTCTGCTTGTTACTTGTTAAATTTACTTGGTGAAGCATTGAGCCTTTTTACTGTAATGTCAACTTAAAATATGTTCTCTCAAAAACTAAAGAAAGCAGTTTTTTTCCTTTTCTTTTTCCTTTCCTTTCTCATACAAAGTGTTGAACTCTTTCCCTAGAATAATCTGTGTATAAAATTAATTGAAAATAGATCTTAGTTCTGTGAGTGAGATCCCAGTGGAAAGAACAGGTCTTCAAAGAGGGAGGTGCCTTTCTCTGAAGGGAGGAGAGAACCTCCACTTTGACTATGACCGTGTCTAAACAAGATAAGAGTCGGAGAACTCAAGGGGCTTCCATAGCCTTGGAAACTCATAACTGGTGCATAGGGAGATTACTGATGCCATAAACAGGAGTGTCAATTGGTAAAGTCAACAACAGGAGTCACTGTGCACTTACTCCTCATGTAGGATCTCGGTCCTTAACGTGCTGTACACTGAGGCTTAATGCTATAACGAGTACTCAAACAGTATATTTCACTTTGTGTTTCTATGGGGGTGCAAACGACTGAAATCTTTACTTAATGTACACTAAACTGATCTTCTGTAAAAAAAAAAAAAAAAAGAAAGAAATTTTCAATTCCCAACTTGACTCTCACTGGGATTAAACATGACAATAGGTCTGATCTGATTTCATCATCATTTTAAAAAAATCATCTATTATTTTTCACTTTATGTTTCTGTGTGGGAGCAAACTGTTGAAATACTTACTTAAGGTATACTAAGCTGATCTTCTGTATATTAAGATAATCGAAAATGAATCTTGATGTGAATGGAAGGGGAGAGGGAGTGGGAAAGGGGAGGGTTGTTGGTGGGAGGGACGGTATGGGGGGGGAAGCCATTGTAACCCATGAGTCGTACTTTGGAAATTTATATTCATTAAATAAAAGAAAAAAAAAAAGAAAATAGATCTTAGTAAAAAATAAGACTGGAAATAGGAGAGGGAAGAGGATGAGGGGTGGGAGTGTGGGTGGGAGGGTGGGTACGATGGGAAGGAAGACCAGGAGGAAGCACCTGGCTCCTGGCTTTGGATTGGCGCAGTTCTAGCCATAGCAGCCATTGAGGGGTGAACCAATGGAAGGAAGACCTTTCTCTCTGTCTCTCTGTCTCACTGTTTATAACTCCACCTGTCAAATAAAAAAAAGAGAGAGAGGGAAAGATAGGGAGAGGGTGGGAGGGAGAGACGGGGAGGAGGCAGGAAGGGAATATCATTATGTTCTTAGAATTCTATCTACAAATTATATTGAATCTGTTAAAATAATTTAAATTTTAAATTAATTGTTTAAAGCTATAAACAAGATTAGAGCAGTTATAGGAATGGGGTAGGGAGCCGGCACCGCGGCTCACTAAGCTAATCCTCCGCCTTGTGGCGCCGGCACACCAGGTTCTAGACCCGGTCGGGGCGCTGGATTCTGTCCCGGTTGCCCCTCTTCCAGACTAGCTCTCTGCTGAGGCCCGGGAAGGCAGTGGAGGATGGCCTAAGTCCTTGGGCCCTGCACCCCATGGGAGACCAGGATAAGTACCTGGCTCCTGCCATAGGATCAGCGCAGTGCACTGGCTGCAGCGGCCAATGGAGGGTGAACCAACGGCAAAGGAAGACCTTTCTCTCTGTCTCTCTCTCACTGTCCACTCTGCCTGTCAAAAAAAAAAAAAGGAATGGGTAGGGGCAGATATCAAACTCTGTTTATAGAATGCCTTCATAGAAGGAAAACCATTCTTGCCCCCAAATTTCAGTTAACTTCCCTCCTTTTTAAAGATTTATTTATCTACTTGAAAGAGTTACAGAGAGGCAGACGTACAAAGAGAGAAAAGGGTGGGGGAGGTCTTCCATTCGATGGTTCACTCCCTAGATGGCTGCAACGGCTAGAGCTGCACCGATCTGAAGCCAGTAGCTTCCTCCAGGTCTCCCATTGGGTGCAGGGGCCCAAGTACTTGGGCCATCTTCCACTGCTTTCCCAGGCCATAGCAGAGAGCTGGATTGGAAGAGGAGCAGCTAAGACTTGAACTGGTCTCCATATAAAATGCCGGCATGGCACACAGCGGCTTTACCTGCTACGCCACAGCACCAACCCCTCTAGTATTGTTTTCCAACCTCAAAAACAATTCTAGTCCACCCCACTAATTTAGCACTTACACCATTTGGTGTATTTATTTCACCAAAGCTCCTTGATACCAGAAACCTTTCAGATTTTAAAATTCATCCTTAATTTTTTTTTTAAGATTTATTTATTTTATTTGAAAGTCAGATTTACAGAGAGAGAAGGAGAGGCAGAGAGGGAGAGAGAGAGATCTTCCAGCCACTGGTTCACTCCCCAATTAGCCTCAATGGCCAGAGCTGCACCGATCTGGAGCCAGGAGCCAGGAGCTTCTTCTGGGTCTCCCACATGGGTATAGCGGCCCAAGGATTTGGGCCATCTTCTACTGCTTTCCTAGGCCATAGCAGAGAGCTGGATCAGAAGTGGAGACTTAAAACCAGCACCCATATGGGATGCAGGCACTGCAGGTGGCGGCTTTAACTGCTACGCCACAGCGCTGGCCCCCATCCTTAATTTTTTAAAAGGATTTATTTATTTATTTGAAAGAGTTACAGTGAGAAAAGGAGAGAGAGAGAGAGAGAGAGAGAGAGAGAGAGGAGAGAAATCTTCCATCCACTGGTTCGCTCCCCAAATGGTCACAATGCCCAGTGCTGGGCCAGGTGCAAGCTAAGAGCCAGGAGCTTTTTCCAAGTTCCACATGAATGCAGCAGTCTAAGCACTTGGGCCCTCCTCCGCTGCTTTCCCAGGCACATTAGCAGGGAGCTGGATCAAAAGTGGAGCAGCCAGAACTCGAACTGGTGCCCATATGGGATGCTGGTGCTGCATATGGCTGCTTAACCTGCTGTGCCACAGCACTGGCCCCTCATCCTTAATTTTGACTCATCAGATAATCAAAGACAACTCTTTAAGGGAGTTGGGGGCAAATAGTATGGTGACCAGTGGGCTACCTGGGAGCCGGCATCCTGTTTGGGAGTACCAGTTCATGGTCTGCTCTTCTTCCAGCCCAGCTTCCTGCCAGCGCATCCTGAGAGGCAGCAGGTGTTGCGCAAGTGGTTGGCCTGTCACTTCCACACAGACCCAAATAGAGTTCTGGGCTCCTGGCTATGGCCTGGCCCAGCCCTGGCTATTATGAGCATTTGGGGAGTGGACCAGTAGATGAAAGATACCTTTCTTTTTTCCCTCTCTCTTTCTCTTTCCTCTGCCTTTCCAGTAGAAATACTTTTTTCAATATAGTCAGTTTTTATTGGATTTCAGAGTTTCGAAAAAGCTAGAGTAGATGAGTCAAATTCTCATATATAGATGGGAATATCAATTACCCTGTTTTAAAATACTTTGTAAACTAAAATACAGTATAAGGTTTTTTTTAAAGATTTATTTATTTGTTTGAAAGGCAGAGTTACAGAGGCAGAGGCAGAGAGAAACAGAGAGGTCTTTTTCTACTAATTCACTCTCCAGATGGCCGCAACAGCCAGAACTATGTGGATCCAAAGCCAGGAACCAGTAGCTTCTTCCTGGTCTCCCTCACAGGTGCAGGGTTCCAAGCACTTGGGCCATCCTCCACCGCTTTCCCAGGCCATAGCAGAGAGCTGGATCAGAAGTGGAGCAACCTGGACTCCAACCGGTGCCCATATAGGGTACTGGCACTGCAGGTGGTGACTTTACCCACTATGCCACAGCACTGGCCCCAAAAATATTTTCTTAAAGTCCCTTTTATATATATCATGTGATTCATTTAAAGATAATATTTCCTGTCATTCTTCTGAATCTATCAAATATTTGATAACCTTAAAATAGAAAAAACACATTGCGCAGACTCTAAATACTTAAGGATATGAATACAACACATTTGGTTTTACTTATTATTTCTCACAATGAACACTATTATTTATAGTGCTCATTCCTTACCTTAAACTTATGAAATATTATGCAATAATTTTGACATTCATAATATATTTTGACTTCTATATGTGTATTAAACTCTCAATGGCATTATTTAGGTAAAATTGATATACAGAAACTGGTACACATTTTTACATAACTATACCCGTGCAAACCTTACCATTGTCAAAATAGTGAATATACACAAATTCCCCAAAAGCTGATGGGATCCCTTCACAGTCTCTGTCTGCCACACTCCCCTTTACCTGGCAACCATTGTATGTTCTGAATCACAGTACGTTAGTTTGTGTTTCCTAGAATATTATGTGAATGGAATCATAGAATGTGTACTTTTTTTATTTTTTTTAAAGATTTATTTATTTACTTAGACAGGTTACACAGAGAGAGAAGGAGAGGCAGAGAGAGAGATAGAGAGGTCTTCCATCCACTAGTTCACTCCCCAGTTGGCTGCAATGGCTGGAGCTGTGCTAATCTGAAGCCAGGAACCAGGAGCTTCTTCTAGGTCTTCCACATGGGTGCAGGGGCCCAAGGAATTGGGTCATCCTCCACTGCTTTCCCAGGCCACAGCAGAGAGCTGGATTGGAAGTGGAGCAGCCAGGACTCAAACCAGCGTCCACATGGGATGCCAGCGCTGCAGGCGGTGGCTTTACCAGCTACACCACATGCCAGCCCCCTCTTTTTTTATTTTTTTAAAGATTGATGCATTTATTTGAAAGGCAGAGTGACAGGGAGGGAGAGTCAGACAAAGAGATCTTCCATCTTCTGGTTCATTTCCCAAAAGGCCGCAATGGCAAGGGCTGGGCCACATGGGTGGCAGGTACACAAGTACTTGGGCCATCATGCACTGCCTCCCAGGTGTATTAGCAGGAAACTAGATCAGAAGCAGAGTATCCAGGACTCAATCAGGCACTCTAACATGGGCTGTGGGTGTCCCAAGAGATGGCTTAAGCCACTGCACTACGGCACCCACCCAAGTGTGTGCTCTTAACTGACTTGGTTCACTCAGATTAGTTACTTTGAGACCCATCCATGTGGCAGCATGTATCAACAGTACATTCCTTTTTATTGCTGAACAGTGTTACCATTGTATGGATATATCACAATTTCTTCATTCACTTGTTGATGGACATTCGGGTTGTTTTCATTTGGGGACCATTACAAATAAAGCTACTATGAACATTTGTGTGCAAGTCTTCACACAGGCTTATGTGTCATTTCTCTTAGGTAAATAACCAAGGAGTGAAATAGCTATATCATATGATAGGTGTATGTTTAACATTTTAAGAAACTCTGGCTATGTTTTAACAACTTCTTTTGAAGAAGATAGGACATCAGTTCTTTTGAAAAGACCCAGGGGATAACCCCCTCTCAATGTGCCATACCTCTGGTGTTCAGCCTGCTCTTCTGTGAAGTGCATCTGGAGTACCTCCTGCTAGGGAGACAATGCCCTTTGTTCCATAAATTTATGAGATTAGTATGTTTTGAAACCCAAGGCTAGATTAAGACCCTTGTGGCCTCAAGGCCACTGCAAAAATTACCTGTTTCCCAAATTTTAAGTCAAAAATCGTCACATAGTGCTAACTAACATGTATAATATAGTCTATATAATTCTCATTTTCCCCAGAATAACAACTTTGATTCTTGACCACAATTTTTCAAATATCTAACTCTGCCCCAAATAAACATTTGAAGAGTCTCTTTTCTTGCTGGAGTCCTAAGCATGTGCTCAGTCTGCCTGGAAAGCCCTGAAACGTTTTCTGCAGGACACAGGTTCTAGCACATCCGGTGTTCATTTCCTGTCACTGTCCTTGCCTCTGTCACAGGTGGGGCTGCCAGGCAGCTCCTCTTGGATTCACAGGCCTGTGGATCATCCTCTTAAAATGGGCTTTTTCAACAGTTAATGTAGCATAAATGTTACTAACTTTAAAACTTTTTAATTTTTACTTATCCAATTATTTGAGTGCTTCCAGTCTTAGATTCCCACTTGAATTATCTTTTGTCTTACAATCAGTCTAGCATAACAAAAGGACAGATTCTGGAACATGGGGCTTTTTCACTGGCTATGTGACTTCAAGTTCTTCAGCTTTTCTATGCCTCACCTCCCTCATCTTAAATGAGGATTAAGATGCGTATGTCAAATCATCGCATGAATTAAATGAGATATTTATGCAGGGCTCTAAGCACAAAGCTTGATGTGTGGTAAACACTGATCATTTACAGCTATGTTATTATTATAGTCAGCAGTCATCCTGTCTTCACCAATGAAAGAGAGTAGTGGCACAGATAATTCAAATAGTGAATGAGAAAATAGCTTTTCACTTGACAGAAAAAGTTCTTGGCAAACTCTGTCATTCTGTTTATGTTTTGGTTGGGCTTAAATTCCTTCAGCACTCACAGACTAATCAGAGCAGGGAGAAACCCTTCAGAGTGAATATTCAGAGAATTGAGATGTAACTTTAAAATGAAAGTCAGGGGAAAGGCAAATCATAGGAAAAATCAGTGTTTGTTTCTTTGAATAGAGATGTAGGGGCAGGAAAAGGATAAAAAGGATTATTCCTTTCCTGCTTCCCCTCTATACCAAGAGAAAGTTAACAAGAGAAAAGCAAAACAAATTGGTTTCATCATAGTTTTATATGACACAGGAGCCTTCAGACTGAGACCTAAAGACCTGGGCTGAATTATACACTTTTATTCTTAGATTCAAAGAAGCATGGACAACTGTGTAGACATATGATTGGACATAAAAGGTCCTAGGCTGAATTATCCATTTTTAGGCTTATAGTCAGTGAAACATGGAAAACCGTGTAGATGTATAATTAGATACAAAGGTTCTGATCTAACTGTAGTAGACTGAGTGGAGAAATCCAGCAAGGCCTGTTTAGATTTTTCTGGCCTTTCTGTTCAGCATGTGAGGCAGAGAATTTCTGTATGGCCATCCTCAAGACAGAAAGAAGGGGAAAGATAAGAGTAATATTTCTAGCTTTACGGCTTGCCTTGGGGGAAAGCGTCCTGGTTTTTAGGACCTACCTTGGGGAAGAGAAATTATGATTTCTAAGGCTTGCCTTGGGAGGAGGAAGGTGGAGACAAGAGAGCAGGAGACAAGAAGACAAAAGAAGGACAGAGACTGCTTCTGAGGCCTTCCTCACTTTAGGGTATCCTTTTCTGAGCTCCAATGGGGAGTAATAATAAACAGTCTAAAGAGTTTCAAGTTATAATCTGTCAGCTTCAGAATGAGGACAACCAGTGGGAAAAAATGCATGCAGTTTAGAGATAGAAGAGTAAAACTCTGGGGTCAGCATTGTGGCACAGCAGGTTAAGCCACCGCTTGCAACACCTGCATTCCTATCAGAGCACGAATTCAAAGTCCTGGCTGTTCCATTTCCAACCGAGTTTCCTGCTAATATACCTGGGAAAGCAGCAGAAGATGGCCCAAGTACTTGGACCTCTGCCATCCATGTGGAAGAACCAGATGGAGTTCCTGACTCCTGGCTTCAGCCTAGCCCAGACCTGGGTGTTGCAGCCACTTGGGGAATGGAAAAATCTCTTTCTCTCTCTGTTATTCTGCCTATCAAATAAATAATCTGTTTTTTAAAAAGAAAGAAAAGCTTAGTTTTGGCTTGGATTATGTGGCTACTGAGTGATGGAGCTAACATTGTTTACCATCTTGATCAGATCCGTTTTGTAGAAAGGCACGGAACATTACATAACCTTACCCAGGTTTTTGGAGCCAATGTATTTTAAAGCCTCAATGAATTGAGAAGAAACAATAAAAATAGTGCTGTGAAATTCTCTGACTTCAAAATAGCAAAGATAGAGCTAACTATTGAGAGGAAATGTTGAGTCTTAAGAATGTTGACCACATCAGTATGACAAGGAAAATAATAATGTGTAAACACTATGTAAAAGTTAGAAGGCAGAATTCGAAAGTTAATCTACCAAAGCACCGAAATTATTAGTATCAGGAAAGGAGCTCGCATAGTGTAGGGAATCTGATTTTAATTTGGGTTTCTTGAATATGATGGAAGAGAATCAATTAATGACATTTTATAAGGAGTCTTGGCAACAAGTGATGGAAATATATATCATACTGGTTTAAATTAAAATAAAGGGAGAATGATTGGCTTATATGATGGGAGGTCTGGCAGAGTAAGTGACTGAAGTTAGATAGATGCTCCGTTACTGTTGTCAGGAATCTATCTGGTCTGCTTTTCTATGCCTTCTTACAGACAGACATGACAGCTGTCTGCTTACTTGTCCTGTGGCTAGCTGATGAAACAAATGTGTGTTGCCCCCTCCCCAATAGTACTAGGGAGAGCAAATTCCCCTCTACTCACCACTCAAAAAAAAACCCTTATTTGAGAGACAATTGACTTGAGGAAATCAGGTTTATTTAAGAAGCCCGGCAACTTGAGGGTATGATGGATTTTTGGCACATCCTAAATCCTCAGGTTAATGGGAGAACTTTTCAAAGGAGAAAGGGGAATTAAGGGGCAGTTAGGGACAATAATGAGCATTGTTGCCTCCGGGCACATTCTCACGGTTCTGATAGCATCCCGAATCTGGCCAGGTGGTAGTCCATTTGACCTGGGGCTTGGCTATTTACAGCTGGTTGTCATAAATTCCTGCCTTATCCTGAGGTCCTGCAATTTCAGCCAGCTTCCCTGAGGTCAGTCCCTGGAATTGTTAAGCAAGCATTGTTTATCTGTTCAGTTAAACATAAGTCTGATTAGTCTCGAAGTCAGCAGTTAGCTTTTGTTAAAAGGAGAGGAAATGGAGTCACTTGAGTTACTGCTACCAATCATTCTAGCAAACATCTTGGGGATGACTCAGATGATTCTCACTGGCTGGCTCAGATCTTGTGTCTATCTTTTTGCTAATCTTTGTGACCAAGTAGATGAGTTGGCCAAGCTTGTGCCAAGTGCTCTCAGAGCCATAGCCCCAGGCAGGGTCAGCTCCATCTGAACTGCTTGGACTGAAAGTTCAGGAGGAATGTTTCCCTCAGCTGGAGAAGACGTAAGGGCAGAGTTAAACAACAACAAAAAATATGAATGTCCACTACTGATGTTTTGATCATCAGTTATGTTGTTTGTACTATGAGACCAAAATGGAAATGCCAACTTGTATCTAACTAAAGAAGGAGAAGTTAAAATAAAATCAAAAGTTAAATGGTAAAGAATTGTTTTATATGTGCTATCAGAACATAGTATGAATTTTATGTTGATGAATGAAGAGTTTCCTTTTGCTTTTTCAATGTGTAAAGTGCCCTTATAAACTAAACTATTTCTAGCCCTACAAAGGTTTGGTTTATGGTACTTTGCCAGAATTTGTATGTTATGGAATGGTATTTCAGGAGTGTTTAGTATTTTATTGAGAAATCATCTGCTTTTGATTTGCTTTAGTGCATTTGCATTATCAGAAAAAATATATCTTTCATTTATAGTCATCCTTTTGAGAAGGATAATACCTTAAAACTTCATTAAGATTGATTCTAAATGGTATATAAGATACCAATTGCTTTTCTCCAGCTACTTATTATCATTGATAAAAAATATTGAAGAATTGAAATCCAGTATATATATACCACTACAAATAAAAGAGAAAAATAAACCCACCATAGGATAAGAAAGCAAATATGCTAATCACAAAACCATGTATCTATACAACATATATACCATTATATATATGTATACACATATACATATACAAATTGAGCATAAAGTTGACTCTGAGCTTCCCAGCAGTAGGAACCAAAAAATTGATATCAGTGGGTTACGTTGCTGTCAACTAAAAGGTGGATGCCTAATAATTTTTCAAGGACAGAACAAAACTTTCCCCTGGTATTAAATTGTAAAACAAATTCTTCATGTGAATTCCTTACATCATGCAAGATAATGGACAACACAGAAGCAATATGGTTCTTCTTTCAATAATTCTTGATAAAAAAGCAGGCCATAATACTCAATGATAGTGACTCTACTAAAGGGTAATAGGGTGATGATTTTTAGATAGCTGTAGCTTTTAGATGATCTTCCTTGATACAAGGACAGATTTTTGTAATACTTAATTTTTCTTTTTTTTAAAGATTTATTTATTTATTTGAAAGTCAGAGTTAGCCAGAGAGAGAAAGAGAGACAGAGAGAGAAATCTTCCATCTGCTGGTTCTCTCCTATTGGCCACAATGGCTGGAGCTGCGCCGATCCCAAGCCAGGAGCCAGGAGCTTCTTCTGGGTCTCCCACACGGGTGCAGGGGCCCAAGGACTTGGGCCATCTTCTACTGCTTTCCCAGGTTACAGCAGAAAGCTGGATCGGAAGTGGAGCAGCCGGGACTTGAACCATTGCCCATATGGGATACTGGCACTGGAGGCAGCAGCTTTACCTGCTATGCCACAGCGCCAGCCCCCCCCCCCTTTTAAGATTTATTTTATTTATTTGAAAGAGTTATAGAGAGAGGTAGAGGCAGAAAGAGAGGTCTTCCATCTATTGGTTCACTCCCCAGATGGCCGCAACAGCTGGAGCTGTGCCAAAGTCAGGAGCCAGGAGCTTCTTCCTGGTCTCCCACATGGGTGCAGGAGCCCAAGGACTTGGGCCATCTTCTACAGCTTTTCCAGGCCATAGCAGAGAGCTAGATCGGAAGAGGAGCAGCTGGGACTAGAACCAGCGCTCATATGGGATGCCGGCACTTCAGGCTAGGGCTTTAACCTGCTGCGCCACAGCACCAGCCCCAGTACTTAATTTTTCTTAGATCTTTCTTTCTTTTTTAAAGAAGATTTATTTATTTGAAAGGCAGAGTCACAGAGAGAGGGAGAGGTATAGAGAAAGAGATCCTCTATCCACTGATTCATACACACAAACCCCAAAAACTAGAAGTTTGTTTTTATAGCTGAATAGTTGTACCTTAACTTCTATACTTATATTTTTATGTAATATTGAGTTTTCCATGTCTTCTTGGATAGTGAGACCATAGTCATCTTGTAATTATTACTGAAATTTGAAGAGGTTCATTTGATTATTAAAAGAGTTCACTTACTTGACAACGGCTTTGGAGTCCTCTGTACTTAGCATGCCTACATGCTAAAATAAAAAAGTACTTATGATGGTGGGACTTGGCTTGCTATCTAGAATTACACTGTCTCATAGGGTAACTACCAGCTCCATGTAACTTTTTAAGTTTAAATTAATTAAAATTATATTAAAACTAAAATCCTCACACAGTAACCATGTTTCAAATGCTCAGTAGCAATATGGGGCTACTGTGTAATTGCAAATTAGAGAATATTTCCATCATTATAGGAAGTTCTCTTGGCCAGTACTACTCTGGAGTATACATTCTTCCATGACCTCTCCCTCTCTTCCTGTGTCCCTAAAATTAAAAAACAAAACAAAACAAAAAAAGCAGCTTCCTCTAAGAATGACTTCTACAACTTCCAACATTTGGGGAGACAGCTTATTTTCCCAAATGATTCTACATGATATTTGACATACAAGAATCTTTGTTGGCCTAGTTGATATTTTTGTGGCACAGGAAATCATGCTAACCCATAACCCAGATCAAGTTGCTCTACGTTTCTTACTGAAGTGGCATGTCCACAGAACCAGCTGGTTTTTATTTGCAAGACTGTACTTTGAACCAAGAACATTAGAAACATTTCTAGACCTTGTTTTGTCAAATTGCTTTTGAGACTCCCCCAACCCTGGTGACTTACTGTTAGTAATTATGTTGCTTTTGAACCTTACAGCAAATATGTTAGCTTCTATAATAGATCTGGCCATCTTATTTAAAAAAAAAAAAAACAGCTTTATTGGTATGGGCACTGTGGTGCATAGGGCTAAGCTGCTACATGGGATGCCTCCATCCCATATCTGAGTGCTGGTTCAAGTCTTGGCTTCTTCTTTGCTTCCAATCCAGCTTCCTGTAAATACAACTGGGAAAGCAAGAGATGAACCAAGTACTTGGATTTCTGCCACCCATGTAGGGGATCCAGATGGACTCTCAGCTCCTGGTTCCATCCTGGCCCAGCCCTGGCTGTTGCAGTCATCTGGGGAGTGAACCAGTAGATGGAAGCTATTCTCTCTCTCTCTCTCTCTCTCTCCCTCCCTCCCTCCCTCCCTTTCTCTTTTTCTGTCACTCTGCCTTTCAGATAAATAAGTAAATCCATTTAAAAAAAACTTTATTGAGGTATGGTTAACATACAGAAAACTGTAGATATTTAATGTATATAACCTGATATGCTTGTTGGCCATCTTATTAACATAGCCTACAATAAGACAGTCCACTATAATTCCTTCTATAGTTAATGTGTATTATTTTGCAAGAAAAAGTAAATGTGATTCTTTAACTATTAGGCCAAGGCATCTGCATCCCATATCAGAGTACTTGGGTTTGAGTCCCAGCTGTGGCTCTTGATTTCCCATGTAGACCATGGGAATCAGCAGGTGTTGGCTCATGTAGTTGGGTCCCTGTCACCCATGTGGGAGTCCTGGATTGAGTTTCCGGCTCCCAGCTTCAGCCTCAGTCCAACTCTAGCTGTTGTGGGTGTTAAGGAGATGAAATAGTAGATGGGAGCTCTCTGTCTCTCTCTCTCCTCAAATAGTAAGGAAGGTATAAGTTCTTCATCTTCTTTCCATTGTTGATCTAAAGAGTCTTGATATAAGGCCATGTGTATTAATACAGGCTTATGTGGTATACACCAATGTTGTTTTGGTCTTGTGCACTTTCATCTTACCTGGGTAAACCTCTTTGGTTCTTTTCAGTCCTAACATTCCTCAATAACTTCCTTTAGAGACATGTGCTGACTGTGTATTTGCCAACGATATTATGTTGCTCAAGTGTATAGTAGGACAGTACACTAAACATCTTTGCTGTATGTAAAATAATCCTGGAAAGTTTTCTTTTACCAAATGAGCTAAGTACTGTGCAATATTTATTAATGGTCAGGTTTGGACACTCCAGAACTGCACAGAAACAGGCAACCATGTTCCTTCTCCCTGCTGCACACACAATGATCTGATCAAGAGAGCAGATCTCTGTTCAGAATGTTCTTGGTCACTGGACACCTCATAACTGAGGCCTTACATTAACCACTGCTGTTCCAATTTCAAGGCTCTGAGACCATTTCCCAAGCTCATAAACAACATGGTCAGTTCAACATTCTTTATAAAAGTGTTGGCAATTATGGAGCAAGGTGGTGGGCTACAGGCAAGGTAATTTATATTAACCTTCACTTTTGTGTGACTTTGAAAAGGTACAAAGAGTGGAGAAATGTTGTCACCCATTTGGGTGAATTTAACACAGCTATTTTTACTGCTAATAATAAGATATATCACTGAAGCCAAAATTTGCCCAAAGATTAGTAAGACTTCATTTTGGACCCATGTCTTAATTTATTGTCAGAAGTTGAATATACATATGGGGAAATACTGAACCTTATTTAAATATAGCATTAAGTGACTAATCCGTGCCCAATTTTGAAATGTCAGAAAAATCAGTAAGATGTTATTGTTATACAAAACAGTTACACTTATATAATATTACCTCAGATATTTATGTTTCCTTAGTCACTAGATTTTTATTCCCAAGTATTTTTATTATTATTTTGCCTTTTCTTCAAATAGTTAATGGAAAAAATGGAATGAAAAGAAATTCATGCATAGTTTTTCATAATATGCATTTTTCATGAACTTTTTGGAGACCCCCTCATATACGTATATATACATATACTGTCTTTTACACACAATAAACTTAGCTTTTTATTCCACTTTCCACAAACGTTTTAAAGTAATCTCCTAGAGTTGTCTTGTGCAGGGTATACCTGTCAGTCCGTTTTCGAAACTATTTCTATGACTTTGATTTGTTTTTATCTCACGTTGCTGAACAACAAGAAAAGCATTAAAGAAAATAGCTCCAATGAATAAAAAATGTGATTTCTTCTATGTGTATTTTTGATAGCATTGACTTCACTGAAAATCTATTTTGAGTCCCTCATTCTATATCAATAATAATATTATTATGACTTGAAACACACACGCACACGCACACACACTCAGCCCTCCAGCGACCAGTCGGTCTTAAGGCAATAGCAGACGCCTGATTGGCGGGCTCTGTTTATTCTGTGACCAGATTCCTTCTAAAAGAAGGCAGCCTGTGACTGCCTGAAGCCTATTGGCCAGGCGTACTCTGGACCCTCCCCACACCCTTTTTTTTTTTTTTTTCATTGCACACACCACAGGGAAGTCTGTGCGGAATCCTAAACCAACCCAATTTACATCCATTCATGATCTGTGACGTCAGCAAGCCTGTGGGCTCCTTTGCAGTGGGCTGGAGGATTGTGTGGCTGGAATCCCCCTCGCCTGTATTTTTATCATTTTGCAAGGCTGTTTAAATTAACCTTCTACTTTTTAAAGCAAGAAAATGGGACAGCATGTGTAGGAATCCTTCATTGTTGTGAGTATTGCACTCTATTTTTCTGTTTCATCAGCATTTATTTCATTCATTTCAGAGAATGTATTTGTGATTTGAAGTAATTAGAAAACTGGTGTTATCGAGGGAGACACAGCAGCAAGAGAGGCAGAGGCGCAGAGAAACCCGAAACCCCGTTACAGCTCGGAGCCTCTGAAACTGACAGCTGGTTTTCCTTCGCTTGTCTGCTTGCTTAGACGTGGACATTTTTCATTAACGGTTCCGCACGTTACCGCTTCACCTCTGGTTGCTGGCTTGGGTTTCCTTCAGGGGAGATTCGCTTCTCGGAAAGGTGAAGTGAACGCCCTGAGAGGAAAACCTAGAGCACCAGGAAGGTGCGGGGGAAGCCAGGCTGGCAGGAAGGCGCAGTTCCACCCTGCTGAACACTTGCCTTCCCTGCTGCTGTCCTCTCTGCCGTCTCTCACCCTTCACCTTGCCTTTGTTTCGTAATTGTGTAACAGTCAACATCTTGTGATTGCCATTTGGGCAAGATGAGTACTTGTTCAACCAATTGTCAAAAGCTGTTATGATGGGCATTACAGTGGTGTATTTATACACGTTTGTGTCTGAATTTTATTTGCATTATCAAAAACTTAAAAGCCTGCAACACAGGCAAAAAGGGAATTACCCTTAAATTCATAGCTTTTCACATAACCTCTAATTAAAACTAAGTGATTTCTTACTAAATTCCATATATTGTGTAGAGGTACACATGAATATTTCCCTAAGTAGTTTATTCTGCTTGTGTTTGGGGAAACATGGATAAGTTCTGATAAGCTCCATGTGTGAAGTTGGCTTGATAGTTTGCTTGTAGTTTGAATGTGAAGTTAGCATTTGTGATTAAATTGGTTTTCTCTGGTTTATTCCTGTGTCAGTTGTGATGGAAAAGAAGAGAGATGTGACATTGTGACATTTTTCTGCTCCTGTGGCAGCTCCTAGCCCCAAATAATCTCTGTTTCCCAACTGCCTCACTTTGAGCAATTTATATCAGAGTTTGCAGCTAGCAGTTGGTTGGTTGTTCTTTCCAGGAAGAAAGAGAGAAAGTAAGCAAGAGAGAGAGCGCTTACGCGAGCAAAATGCCTGCTGTGTCTTTCCATCCAGCCTTGTCATGTTTACCTTGCATAATCAATACTTAGTTTGGAGGTTTTCATATTAAAATCTTTCCTTGTGAAGCAAAGCTTCTAAATTATGGTTTTAATGATATCTTTTGAATTATTCTTCTTAATGAACCTTCCAGTTGTAAATTCATTTATTTTCCAAATGATCATTCCTGAAACTGTAACTTTTTCTTTTGTCTCTCATCCTGGCTAAGCCCTCACTCATTTTGGTTGTCTGACTACACTTTAGAGTTACTGAAGGGAAAACCTCTGCTTCATTCTGAGTCAGATCTTTGTCTTATGCTCTCAGACAATTGCAGCTTTAAATTTTTGGTATTTTCTATTTGTTGGTTTGAACAAACAAGATAATGTTTTAGACACTTTTTCCTTTATTTGTAAACAACTTCACTTATTTTAGCATTTTTCTTTTTTGTGTACCATCAGAGACTATGTTGAAATCAACAATTTGAAAATTATCTTAAATTATTGAAGTCTACCAAATCAAAAGGCCAAATTTGTAGGATATGTTTTAAAAATTGTGTTTACGTAATCAAATTCATCTTCAGACAAGCTCATCAAAGTCTGTCTTTTATGCACAAATTTCACCATAAGAGAGATGTGTTTCCATGAAAGAAGTATAGCCTGCACTTTGGATTTATTAAAGTAAAACTGTCTCTTTAACATGGAGAATGGATGTAGAATCCCCCTGTCTTCCCCACTCTTAGTGGCTGTATTCTAGATTATATTGATTTTCATGTATAGCGTAGTTGTAGAAAAAAACAATAACTCTTAATTGTTTAATATCAAACAATAAAATCCTGTGTATCAGAGACTCTCAATAGATGGCTTTCTGTTTAAAAATTGAAGCTTCTCCAGAAATAGGAATTAATTTATTTAGTAAACAAAGTCCTTCAAACCAGAGCTGTGTCCTAGGCAGTTGTCAAAAGAATGGTTCCTAAGGACCAGAGGCCACATTCGCTGGTGTAAGACAGAACAAACAGATTTTGGATGGCAGAACCGGTCACTTTGGTTTGCCCCATCTACCTACCCTCTTTCCAAGTGCTACAGTTGAATTAATCGCTTGGGGAGCTCAAATAAATCAAGATGGCCAAGATGACCAGTTCTGCCAGGTGGCAGCCTGACTCTTGTAATTTTGATTAAAATAAAGAAAATTGCCCAAGAATACTCTGCTGTTGAAAAAAAAAATTCAAAAGACATCACATTCCAGCTCAGTGTTGGTTTGTAGTAAAAATACAGGAGAGACAAAGATTGAGAAGATGCAATTTTTAAAGCTAGGGCATCTAAAGTTATTATTAGAAAGATTTATTTTAATATTAGAATTAGCTATGGAGCTTTTGGCTCTCCTTTTTTTTTTTTTTAACTATTCAGTGCTTTTTAGTATGTTCATGGAGTTATACAATTATATCACAATCAATTTTAGAACATTCTCATCATCACATAAAGAAACTGGATTCTTTCGGTAGTTACTCCTCATTTCTCCTCATTCCAGGCCTAGACAATGATGAAAGTACTTTATGGGTGTGTATGTGTGTGTATGTATCTATATCTATCTATATCTATCTGTATATAGCTTTGCCTACTCTGGACATTTAATACACATAGAGTCATACAATATATCATAATGTTTTCAAAGTTCATCCACATTATAGAGCATATCAGCACTTCATTTCTTTTTATTGCTGAATAATATACCAATATACATATTTTACTTATCCATTCAACTGTTAATGGACATTTGGATTGCCATGTACATTTGTGTACAAGTTTTTGTGTAAATATGTTTTCATTTCTCTTTGATATTTACCTAGGAGTAGAATTGGCTTGGTTGTATGATAACTGTATGTTTAACATTTTGAGGATATGATGAACTGTGGCTCTACACTTTTGCATTCCCATCAGCAATGTGTGAAGGTTCTGATATCTCCACACACTCATCAACACTTGTTATTTCATGTCTTTTTGATTAGAGTCATCTCAGTGAGTCTGAAGTAGGATGTCACTGTGGTTTGGATATACATTACGCTGACAGCTAATGATGTAGAGTGTTTTTTCATGTGCTTACTGGTTATCTGTAAGTCTTCTCTGAATGAGTATCTATTCAGATCCTTTGCCCATGTTAAAAATTAGATTATTTTTGCTTTTTTAAAATTTTATTTATTTATTTATTTATTTGCATTTTTAAAATGTATTTGAAAGGCAGAGTCACAGAGAGAGGGAGAGGCACAGAGAGAGAGAGAGAGATCTTCCATCCTCTGGGTCACTCCCCAAATGTCTGCAACTGCCAGAGCTAGGCCAGGCCAAAGCCAGGAGCCAGGAGCACTTGGCAGGGGCTCAAGCACTTGGGCTGTTTTCTGCTTCTTTCCAGGAGCATTAGCAGGGAGCTATATCAGAAGTGAAGCCGCGGGAACTCGAACTGGTGCCCTTATGTGATGTTAGCACTGCAAGCACAGGCTTAACTGGCTGTGCTACAGCGCCAGCCCCTATTTGTGCTTTTTTCATTGTCAAATTATAGCTAAAGTAGATAAGCTCTTTATCAGACAGATGATTTGCAAATATTTTTCTCTCATTCTATGGATTGTCTTTTACTTTATTGTTGATACTATTTGCATTAAAAAAAAACTAAATTTTGGGCCCAGTGCTATAGCGCACTAGGTTAATCCTCCGCCTGTGGCGCCGACATCCCATATGGATGCCAGTTCTAGTCCCGGTTGCTCCTCTTCCAGTACAGCTCTCTCCTGTGGCCTGGGATAGCAGAAGATGGCCCAAGTGCTTGGGCCCCTGCACCTCCACAGGAGACCAGGAAGGAGCACCTGGCTCCTGGCTTCGGATTGGCGCAGCTCCTGCCATTGCAGCCATTTGGGGAGTGAACCAACAGAAGGAAGACCTTTCTTTCTCTCTCTCTCTCTCTGTAACTCTACATGTCAAATAAATAAATTAAAAAATCTAAAAAAAAAAAAAAAAAACCTACATTTTGATGAAGTTTACCTGTTTTTTTTTCTCTTGTTGCTAATGTTTTTGGTGTCTTAGCTAAGGCAGCTTTGGCTAACTTAAGGTCATGAAGATTTGTTTCTGTGTTTTTTTTTTTTTAAGGGTTTTGTATTTTTAGCTCTACATATAGGTCTGTGATCCATTTTTGAGTTAATTTTTACATATATTATAAGGCCCTCAATTATATTCTTTTGAATGGGGACATCCATTTATTGCAGCAATATTTGTTTAAGAGACTATAGTTACACCTCTTGAATTGTTTTGGCACCCTCTCACAGAACTTACCAAAAAAAATAAAGAAAGAAAGAAAAATAGTGAGGCTGTGTTCCTATCTCCAGAGATTCATAGTTAATTGGACTATGGTAGGGCCCAGTAATCTGCATTTTTAAAAGCTCTGCAGATGGTTCTAATGTGCAGCCAGAGTTGAAAACTATTGGCATGCCATGCATAGCGGCTTAGTCTTAGAAAAGAAGAAAAACATTATTTCTGAATCAAAAGTTGCAATTCTGATATGAAAAGAAGGGAAGAAAGGAAAATTAAGAGGATTCAAATCAGAAAGCATGGATATTCTTGTTAATCTCTCAAAGAAAGAGTGTGAGGGTATTTCTAGAAGTTAGTGAAATATATTACAGGAAGAGAAAGAGGAGAAGCTAATGTTAATTATGCGCTTTCTGTGTGCCTCTAAATCTTTTGCGAGCTTTTGCATACATTATTTCATTTCAAATATAATTCTCATGATGTAAATACGTACTATTATCACCATTTTACAAGACAAAAACACTCGAAAATTTGCTGACTGAACCAATGACACCAGGTAGTTCATTTTATACTCAGTTTTCAAAAGCAGCTCTAATTCTCTAATTCTTGGGCTCACTATCT